CAGAGGCTGCTTAGCATGTGAAATGAACCTCCTGATGAAGCAGCGGATGCGGGTACAGTTCCAACGTTTAAAAGACATTTGGATGGATATATGAATCAGAAAGCTTTGGAGGGGTATGGGCCAGGAGCAGGCAGATGGGAGTAGTTTAATTTGGGGACATGGTTGGCACGGACTGGATGAGCCAAAGGGTCTGTTTCCGTGCCGTGTGACTCTATTACTCCGATATTCTAATTCTCTCTCCGTCCACAGATACTGCAAGACCTGCCGTGTTTCTTTACAATGCAATCAGATGCAGGGTGGGATAATAGATCGGCACAACGTCGCGGGCCTGTACTGTTTTATATATCCTTCCTGTAATGTGGATTCCAGAACCGCACACAGCTGCTCCAACTCCAGATGGCCCAACCAAGGTATTATGCGCTTCCAGGATCACCTCTCTACTCTTAAACCCTGCGTCTCGGTCAATAAAGCAAGTAGCCCATGTGCCTCCTGAACCACTGTAACTGCCCGCGCTGATACCTTAAGGGATGAACGTACCTGCGCACCCAGTTCTATCTGATCCTCCCATTCATCGTGTGCTCGCCTGTATCTGCTGCCCCGCCTTGTCTTTCCAGACGGAAGCGGCCGTGGGTTTGGAAGGCACTGCCTCGGGAACCGAGGGTGCATCTTGTGGACGGTACACGCTGCTGCTGTTGAGCGTCAGTGGCGCCAACCGAGAGATGTAGCTGGCACGTCCTGCGCTTCTTGAATGTTGCCAAAGCTGCCACCCCCCCCACCCATCCAGGGCAAGTGGCTGGCGAAAGTCATGTTACAGACTGTTCGTCCCCTTGAGCCTGGGCCGACATTATTCATGTGCGTTTTCCACCCGATCCCCTCATTCCCCGACTGATCGGGAATCGATCTATCTCAGACTTAAATATACACGAGGGTTCTGCACCCCATCCCCCCACAGCTCTCAGTGGTGAGGAGGAGGCCCTCAACCCACTCAAGAAATTCCTCCTCCTCACATCAGCCTTAAATTGGCGCTCCCTTTGTTCTGAGACTACGCCTCCTGGTCTTAGACGAGAAATGTCAGCTTTGGCCACGTCAAGCCCCCTAAAGAATACAACATCTTTCAACAATCATAGAATCCCGACAGCGCGGGAACAGGCCCTTCGGCCCAGCAAGTCCACACCGACCCTCAGAGCATCCCAACCGAAAGCACCTGTTATTCTGCGAGAGCAAGTAGACTTCTGACCTGTTTTGCCTTTGCTCATAAGACAGACCCCACCCCCAACCAGACCAGAGATCATCGTCGTGAGCCAACTGCCTCCAATAAAATGATCATCTTTCCTTAAATAAGGGGAACCAAAGTTGCTCGCGGTACTCCAGCTCTACAGTCTCCCCAGCGCCTTGTACAGTAAGCCTCCCCCTGCCCTTACGCTCCAACCTCCCTTGAAACAAGGGCCTGCAAGTTAGGACTGAACATAAGAGTGGGAATCAGGCCATTTAACCCGTCGAGTCTGCCCCTTCGTTCACTGAGATCGCAAATTCTACAGATCCATTACCCTCCGCGAGAGAGAGAAAAAAGAAGAGACTGGAAAAGACAGATAAAGGCAAACTATTTCCACTGGTTGGGGATTCTCGAGCTGGGGCGGGGGGCGGGGGCTGGTGGTGGGGGGAGCATAGTCTGAGAATTAGACCCGGACTGTTCAGTAGAGAAGCACTTCTACGCAAAACTACCTTTCAGAATTGGCCGTGGATATGGGATCCGTTGATAAAATCCGAGTTGGATCCATTTTTGCCCAGTAGAGCGTGTTGAAGGGCATGGGCTGAAGGCAGATGTATGGGAGTTAGGGCCAGAGATCTGCCATGATCTCATTCAATGGCGGAACAGACGCGAGGGGCTGAATGGCCTACTCCCTGCTCCTCGCGGCTCTCTCGCAAGGGGAAAATCAACCTTTCCGTAATCCCACCCTAAAGTACTTGGCCAAGGAGGGGGACTCAAAATGGCGACGGTGGAAAGGCAGCATCCAGACTCCTCAGCCTGGGGTCCATCCACTTCTTTCTTTTCTCCACTCCTTTTCAGATTTTGCTTCCACTTTCCCATCTGAGGAGCGCTTGGTAATGGCGGCTTTTTCTGGAACTGGAGCGTGACGGTGAGCCTGGCGTGGGACTCTGGCAAGAGGCAACGTCAGTGAGGTAGGCCCAGTGGCGAAAGAATGTGCCTGAGGAGCAGCGACTTCAACTCTGGTTGGGTCCAGTGCTGGTTTCTTATTTTTTCATAAGCTGCGTTATTTTCTTTTAAAAATTCTTAAAATGTTCAAAATGGTGCCAGATCATGGCAATGGTAGAAGCTTTTTGCTGTACTTTACTGCATTTTTCAGTGTAAAATACCCATGACAATAAAAAAAAACAAATTTGCCCGTTAACCTCAGCTCTGCGAAACTCCCTGGCGATGGGAGAGCCTGGTTGAAAAACTGCAAATTATTCAAACCAAGAAAGTTTAGGCTCTCAGGTTGTGGAAAGATTGAAAAAGTAAAATACAGTGGGATAATCATTGTGGGCTTGAGCCTCTGCCTGGAAACAAGTTGAGACTTTGGCTCGCTGTCTGTTTTGAGATCATTTCGACTCTCAATATACATATTTAGGAAGCTCGATTTTGTTTCGATGTTATCTCGGCTTTTGCCGAATAAATCTTCAGAGGGAATCTGTAGCTTTGTGTGCACACGCCTCACTTAACAAACCAGCCTGTTTATTAACTAAACAACAGTGAAACAAGTCTCTCAAACCAGGGAGACAGCAGGAACTGCCGATGTTGGAGTGGGAGACAACACAGTGTAGAGCTGGATGGACACAGCAGGCTGGGCAGCATCAGAGGAGCAGGAAAGCTCACGTTTCGGGTCGGGACCGGGTTCGTTCTGGAATCTGACTCGTACCTTGCGCTGACTTCGTTATGAGAGAGAGCTTGGCTGGGATTTGCAATCGTCAAGTACACGCTAAACTCTATTGGACAGATTGAATTTTGATTTTGAATTTGATTGAATCTGAGAATTTTTTTCTGGGAATAAGCGACGTGTCGGTGGAATGTTTGAGATCCTTGATGAGAAGTTACCGGATAAACGGTATGGTCCTGGGGAGTGTTGCTGAACATAGAGGTGCAGGTACATAGTTCCTGGAAAGTGGGGTGTCGCAGGTAGACAGGACGGTGAAGAAGGGATTTGGGATGCTTGGTCAGTGCGTTGAGCGTAGGGAGTTGGGAGGGTAATGTTGCGGCTGTATGGGTGAGGCCACTTTGGGAGCACTGCATTCAATCCCGGTCTCCCTCCTACAGGAAGGATGTTGGGAAAGGGGTTCGGAAAAGGGATGTTAGAGGGTTAGAGCTACAGGGAGAGGCTGGGGGCTGTTTTCCCTGGAGCGTTGGAGACTGAGGGGTTGACCCTTATAAAGGTTTATAAAATAATGAGGGGCGTGGATAGGGTGAATAGCTTTTCCCCAGGGTAGGGGGAGTCCAAAACTAGAGGGGCATAGGTTTAAGATGAGAGGGAGAAAGGGACCTGAGGGACAACTTTTTCACACAGAGGGTGGTGCGTGTATGGAACGAGCTGCCAGAGGAAGTGGTGGAGGCTGGTACGATTACAACATTTAAAAGGCATCTCAATGGGGACATGAATAGGAAGGGTTTAGAGGGATATGGGCCAAATGCTGGCAAATGGGACTAGATTAATTCAGGATGTTGGGCGACAGCACAGACGGGTTGGACCGAAGGGCCTGTTTCCTTGCTCTATGACTCTAAATCGATGGTCGAAATGAAAGCAGATGTTCGCAGGCCAAGAAATGCTTCAATGATCTCCTTAACATTTAGAGGGAGATGAGAAATTGCAATGTCACAGCTATAATCAGCTTCAATTCAGAGAGAATTAAGAAGACTTCATTTGGAGGAAGGAAATTCAAGGAAGAACAGGTAAAGAGAATTGGAGCTAGGTAAGCTTGATTTCGAAAGGTATGGAAAAGAGAAGTGAGAGACGAGGGGTTGGAATGTTTAAAAGCTTGAATGCCAAAGAGATTGGGACTTTAGGCAATATGACTCTCGCTGGAGAAAAGCTTTAAGACAGAAAGAATGAAGAGAGAGCAGCTCGGAAGATGATTCTGATTCCAGCGAGGGATTTGACTTCACCAGAAATCTCTTACGTAGTGTCCTTGTTTGCTGAGGATAGAGTCGAAAGAGATGTCACCTCACCTGAAGAAGGTATCTGAGCACTCAGAATGTCCAAAAAAGAAATGCCTGGACCTTCACATTGGTACGCTGGTACAGTTATGAGTGTGTACGCCAGTTTGTCAGAAGAGCAATAGGCAGATTGTGCAACTGTTATATGTGGAAAAGAAAGCAATATTCACTGCCTATAAACCGCCCCCAGAGATACGAATCAAAATTTAGTCCTACAACAAATGAACCCAATCAGACTGTAGTTACTGTAAAAAAAAATTGAGAATGTAAAGCAAGCCATGATTACAAAAGATCACATTTAGTTAGGGGGGTTAAGAAAGCGTTTGGCACGCTTGCCTTCGTCGCTCAGAGCTTTGAGTGTAGGAGTTGGGACGTCATGTTGAGGTTGTACAGGACATTGGTGAGGCCTCTTCTGGAGCACTGCGACCAGTTCTGGTCTCCCTGTTACAGGAAGGATGTTATTAAGCTGGAGAGGGTTCAGAAGAGATTTACCAGGAAGTTGCCGGGACTGGAGGGTGTGAGGTATAAGGAGAAGCTGGATAGGCTGGGACCTTTTCCACTGGAGTGTAGGAGGTTGAGGTGTGACCTTATAGAGGTTTATAAATTCACGCGGGGTAGAAATAAGGTGTCTTTTCCCTGGGGTGAGGGATGTCAAGACTAGGGAGCACGTTTTTACGGTGAGAGGAGAAAGATTTTAAAAAAGACACAAGGGGTAACTTTTTTTCTTAGACAGTTGTTCGTGTGTTGAATAAACTTCCAGAGGAAGTGGTGGGTGAGGATACAACGACAACACTTAAAAGACTTTTGGGTAAGTACATGAATAGGAAACGTTTGGAGGGATATGGGCCAGGAGCAGGCAGGTAGGGCTAATTTAGTTTGGGATTACGGTCGGCGCAGACTGGTTGGGCCGAAGGGTCTGTTTCCCTTCTTTACGACTCTATTCGGACAACGTTTACGCAAACATGAAAGCGCGCTCAGCCCAGTGTCAGTTTCAGACCTGAGAAATTGCAGTGCCAACAGATGCCTACGCTATCTCATGCCGACAGCTGTAGGTCGGGTGATGTTCGTCCAGGAATCGACGAAGAACCTGCAAGGGTAGAAAAGCTGCAGATGGAAGATACATCAGTCAGAAGGATGTCAAAGTAATAAAGCTGAAGGAGCCAGAACCAAAAAAAAATAGGTGGTTTGAAGAATGTTTCTACTGTGGTAACACAGGACATACCAAAGCCGAAGATTATTAAGAAAGGAGAAACGACCCAGGTAAGTCAAAATTCTTTCCCGATTATTCACAAAGAGGTTCTGAGTATTTCATTTCAACGGGAGAGGGGTTTCCTTCTGTTTTGAGTCCAGGAGGCAGATCAGTAAAGATAATGGAGGGACACTGAACTTCGGCAGTCGCTGGATGGTGATATCATTTTTGCTTCCCGGTGGGGTTAATTAAAGAGAGAATGTAAATTTGATTTATTATTGTCACATGTACCGAGGTACAGTAAAAAGTTCTGTTTTGCGTGCAGCGCGGGCAGATCATACCACACAGGGTGCATCAGGGCAATAGAACAGAGCGAGGAATACAATGTTACGGCCGCAAAGAAGGTGCACACAGGGTGAGATCAACAATTTACAATTTGAGAGGTCCATTCAGTCTGATAACAGTGTGGGAAGAAGCTGTTCTTCAATCTGTTGGTGTGTGTGTTTAAGCTTTTGTATCTTCTGCCCGATGGAAGAGATTATAACTGGGGTGGGAGGGGTCTTTGATATTGGCTGCCTCCCTGAGACAGCGGGAAGTATAGATGGAGGCAGTGGATGGAAGGTTGGTTTGTGTGATGGACTGGGCTGTGTCCACAACTCTCTGTAGTTTCTTACGGTCCTGGGCAAAGCAGTTGCCTGACCAAGCTGTGATGCATTCAGATAGGATGCTTTCTGTGGTGCATCTATAAAAGTTGGCAAGAGTGAGGTTGTTGACTTGCTCGCCGAGCTGGCTTGTTCTCATTCAGACGTTTCGTCACCATGCTAGGTAACATCATCAGTGAGGCCTCCAATGAAGCGATGTTATTCTACTCTGCTGGGAATTTATACTTTCCGATCCGTTATGGTGAGTTCTGTCATTTCCAGTTTTGTTCTGTATGGGTTTGTATATGGGGTCCAATTCTATATGTTTGTTGATAGCATTATGGGTGGAGAACCATGCCTCTATGAATTCCCGTGCATGTCTATGTTTGGCTTGGTTACCTTGTCCCAGTTAAATTGATGGCCTTCATTGTCTGAGTGTACAGATATTAAGGAGAATTTGTTGTGCCGTTTTGCTGCTAGCTGATTTTAGTGTATTCTGATGGCTAGTTTCCTTCCTGTCTCTCCCATGTAATGTTTGTGGCAGTCGTTGCATGATATTTTGTAAACCGCATTGGTTCTGCATGTTGTGGGAATGGGGATCTTTAATCCTTGCAAGTGTTTGTCGTAGAGTGGCTGTGGGCTTGTGGGCCACCATGATTCCTAGTGGTCTTAGGAGTCTTGTTATCAGTTCCGATATGTTCTTGATGTAGGGCAGTGTGGCCAGTGTGTTAGGGCGCACTGTATCCTGTTGTAGCCTGTTTACTAGGCATTTGCGGATGAAGTTGCGAGGGTTTTATATAGGTGCTCTTCCTCATTCCTGCGTAGTTCCAGGCTGTTGCAGTGTGTCCTGGACCATTTAAGCAGTGTCCCAGTGCAGGTTTGTTTGTGGGCGTTGGGGTGGCTGCCGTGGAAGTTGAGGATTTGATCAATGTGGGTAAGAATCTTTACGGACATGCTGAATTTCCATAGCCTCCTGAGGACGTCGTGCTTTCATGACCATGGCGTCAACGTGGCTGGACCAGGACAGATTTTTGGTGAACATCATTCCTAGGAACATGACGATATTGACCCTCTCCACCTCAGCACCATTGACACAGACAGGCGCGTGCCCTCCACTCCACTTTCTGAAGCCAATGACCAGCTCCTTCAACCTATCCCATTATACAGAGTTGGATTAAAGACCGATGGAGAACTCATGGTTTGCGGAGGCGAACTAAAGAAGGGGATTAGTGTTACTTGGCAAGATGATCGACTGCTTCAAAAAAATATTGGCCTCACCAGGAGTGGTGGAACAGCCACTGGAGGTAAAGGAAACTGAGATGTTCTGGGAGGAACAGAGTCAAACAAAAGAAACATTGGTGTTATGGATGGAAGGAAAAATCTGGGAGTCATAGTTCAATTGCACCAGTCCACAGGTTTCACTGAGAAAATGCGTTTAGTTGTCCAGAACTTTCCAATTTCTTTTAAAATGGAGATAACTTCACTTTCCTGCAAAAGCCTCTAAATGGCTTGTTAAAAGCCACAGCTTACACCAACTCCTGGGAGAAAATAATGAGCTTTCAGATATTTTTACTGCAGAGAGGGAGAGACACACAGCCAAAGGCTTCTCCACATACTGAGCACGCCCACAGGCTGTCCTTGTAGCCCTGAACCAATCAGAGCCTCATTATCAGACTGTTGACCATTGGCATCCAGGATGAGGTCACAGTTGTGCAAACCAATCAGCTCCCTGTTGCTAGCCAAATCACTCTTTGCCGTTTTCAGTAACTTATAGAGTCGTACGGCATGGAAACAGACCCTTTGGCCCATCCAGTCCGTGCCTACCGTAATCCCAAACTAAACCAGTCCCACCTGCCTGCTCCTGGCCCATATCCCTCCAAACCCTTTCCTATCCACATACTTATCCAAATGTCTTTTCCATGTTGTAACTGTACCCACACCCAACCCTTGCTCTGGCAGTTCATTCCACGCATGAACCACTCTCTGTGTAAAAAGATTGATCCTCATGTCTTTTTGAAATCTTTCTCCCCTCACCTTAAAAATATTCCCCCTAGTCTTGAAATCCCCCCAGCCTTGGCAAAAGACATCTTATCTACACCCCCCATGATTTCATAAACCTCCACAAGGTCACCCCTCAACCTCCCACGCTCCGGTGAAAAAGGCCCCAGCCTATCCAGTTTCTCCTTACAACTCAAAACCTCCACTGCCGGCAACTTCCTGGTAAATCTCTTCTGAACCCTCTCCAGCTTAATAACATCCTTCCTGTAACAGGGAGACCAGAGTTGGACGCAGTGCTCCAGAAGAAGCCTCACCAACGTCCCTGTACAACCTCAACGTGATGTCCCAACTCCTATACTCAAAGCTCTGAGCAATGAAGGCAAACGTGCCAAACACCTTCTTAACACCCCTGTCTATATGTGACACAAACTTCAAAGAATTATGTGCCTGAACCCCTAGGTCTCTGTGTTCACAAGACCACCCAAGACCCTACTTTTAATTGTATAAGTCCTACCCTTGTTTGTTTTACCCAAAAGTAGTACCCTCCTTCCCACCTCTTATTAATTTCAACATCCTGGGGGCTCCCATTGAGCAGAAACTGACCTGGGACCTCAGCCCCATAGCAATCCTGTGGCTACAGGAGCAGGTCAGAGGCTGGGAATCCTGTAACTCCCCTCCTGACCCCCAATCCCCGACAGCCTGTCCCACCATCGACAAGGCACAAGGCAGGAGGGGGGAGGGAA